TAGTGGGAAAGGAGGAAAGTCAAGGGAAATAGAGGAAAGAGCTGGGAGGCAAAGGGCATTTATAGAGGCCTAGATAAAGACATGTACATATGCAAATATATTTATATATGAGGATGGGGAAATAGATCTATGTACCCATATTTATAGGTTTAGTATTAAGGTAGCAGAAGAACATTGTGCCTCCACTCAAGTACTCCCTCAACGCAAGAATACTTTGTTCTATTAAATCGGCATTTTATGATACTCACCTTCCCGACACAACTGCTGAAACTGCTTTTACAAAAAATTCGCTGTGACCAGAGAGAACCTACGCAGGTGGCGCCACTGGGTGCACTAACTCAGAGCAAGTTGCTCAATGCTCACCTAGCAGGGGGGAGGGAATGCTTACTATGAAAGCTCTGCCCAGCAGAGCTTTTTTCCTTTTTTTTCTTTTTATACTCCCGCGTATCTCCAGCATTATTCCTATTACTTCCAAATTGATCCTGCCCCTGTTGTAGGCTGTTACTTCCCTACTAAACTGCATACCTGTGAGTTCTTTGTGACTACTACAGTGAATTATCAAAGTCAGCAGCTTGATAAACCCAGCAGAGAAGTACGGAGTGCTGTGGGGAGGGTGGCTGGCGTTGGAGTTGGGAGAGAAGTTGGAGAGTCGATCTTGACCTCATAGAAACCATCCGTGTGCTGGTGGTGATTCTCTTGTTCTCCAAAGAATATTATGACCAAAGAGAACGTCGGACAGGCCAGCTGCCAACACATTCCAGGAGTCATGAATTCCAACCTGGGAACGAAAGGAGTAAGAGGGATCTGACAACGGATGATCGTCAAATGTGCCAATATGGATCTAGGTCTTTGGAAAAGGCTGTATCACTTGCTGCAGCGTTCCATTTCTTAGGAGTAAGTCTAAGCCATGAGAAGAGAATAAGGTTGAAATAAATGGAATGCTAGACCATGCTTATAGATGAGATGAGAAATTCGATTAGAGACTGTCCCCATTTCCTAGCTGAGACACAGAGAGGGTAGATAACTTCTCCGGACTAGATAATGAGTGAAAAGTGAAATCACGTCCGAGTCGTGCTTTTCAGGGCTTTTCTCCTGCTTCTCCTGCAGCCCCCGTCGTCAATCACCTGCCCTGCCGTCTGCCTGTGTTTCTCCACCGAAAATGGCAGAGCTCATACCTTGTTCCCCGTGGCATCTCCAAGTTCCCCAGGCACATAGGAAACACTCAAAACTCACCGATGAAATGACTTCTTGGTAAGCTGCCTGTTCATTAGGATGGAAACTTCTCCCTTTGTAGATGTCTCTTTAAATTAGGACATTACCTAGCCAATCTGTTATTTAGCAAAACTGCACAGATTTAATCATGACTTTTAAGAGAAATTGTTTTCTTAGCTGCTCCCCTTTCCCAGCTTTGGGCTGTTAAATAATTTAAATGGCAGAGCCAGAATTTATTTTTTAATATGGTTTCTAAATTGGAAATCCCAGGACATTTCTCACCATTATATTATTTGAGAGGAAAGACTCTGCCATTTCTTTTGTTTTTGCTTTGTTTTCCCTACACTGTGGGTGCCCAATAAATATTAGATATGGAGGCTACCTTTAAAACAATAAAGCCATTTTTATGTAGGAAGATCTACAGTTAAAGATGAGAAATAAATGATGCTTTATGCTCCTTAAGTTTATAATAGAAACTGCTAAATCTGCTGGAAGATAATAGAATCTGTAAACATAAAATGGTTAAACAACTGCCAAAAAATTACCTTATGACACTGGATAGAGGTAGAGTGTCCCTGAGCCAAATTTGGAACACTCAAGTCCACCTCTGACTGACGGCGCTGTAAGATCTCTGCCATGTTATAAGTAACCAAGCCCTTCATCTCTGGCCACTTCTAATTGTACTAAATCAAAAGACACTTTCCCTTGACCTCTTAGCACTCCCACAATATTCTGTGACTCATGATTTGGAATGTTCGTGGAGAAAGTGGCTTCCTACTGAGCAGGCTCAAGGTGGGTGTTCAACCAAGTCAGCAGGAACAAGAAGACGTTTACTGGTAAGCAGCATTTATTTTTGATTAACAGCATTCATATTCTTTATTGTCTCAATTCCTGCAATTATAATCCATTCAGCCAGTAGGAAAATACTTAACTTTAGATTGCTCTCCCTTGACGTAAATGAGCCCTTCCACTTGTCTTCAAGATTTTTAAGCACTAAGTTCTACAGGAAACACCTTTTGATCGGCTGCTTTCTTGCCCTACATATTTCCCAACTGTGGTGGTGAGAGAGTTAAGGTTTATTGTGCCAACCTGGCCGATAAACACTTGTGGGATTAACTGACTGGCGGAGGGATAAATGGCTTGATGAACCTCGCCTTTCTCGTTCTCAGGTCTCTTGCTTTGTGATGGTCAGAACAGGATGCAGCTGCCTTAGCCAGTTCCCTGCTTCAGCTGGCAAGGCTCACTTCCTGCAAGACATCCCCAAGGAGAAGCCACATGGACCTACCTTGGTGCAGCCCTGGATGCTTGAGCAGTCATGTGGAGACCCCTGCCAGCACTGAGATGCTTACATGCTCACTGATTCGGCTTTCCTCCTGCAGTCGGCGTCATTGCATCTGTTTTGTGAAATGGAGGAAGACTTTGTAGATTGGTGTTGGACATATGGGCTCATGTTAGACTTGTGAGCTTGGACAGCACTGGGTTGGGATGCTTTATTAATGTACACTTACCCTTTATATAAAGCTCTCTCTTATACATATGAGTTTCTGTGGATTTGTTTCCCTAGTCTACCCAGACTAACACAGGTGGATACAGTTTACAGATATCAGCAGGACAGATTCTACCCTTGGGGCTATGGATTTCTGTTTCACAAACACTTCCAAAGAGACCTCACAGAATGAGGAACTATCACATTCCATCAGCCTGGTATCTTTCATCAATTAAATGATCCCAGTGGTTTTGATACAGATACGTAATTGCAATCCTTTTGTTATAAATCTGTGCCTTGGATTAAACATTCATGCTGTCTATACAGTGAGCAAAAACACACAAAGTATTCCACCTCTAATGAAAGTTTAATTGTGATCTGATAGCAGGGGCGTACAGTGAGCTCAGCGCAGCAGTGGGGTGGGGTGATCTTACTGGTCAGAGGTCAGGATGGCACGCTTCGCCGGGCCAAGGGTGCCAGCCACCTCTCTTCTCCTTAGCCAGAGCTCTCTCTTTCCCACTCTACTCTCTTCCTGCACGCCATTCCTCATCAAATGGAGACAGAGGTCTCGGACCAGGAACAAAGCTCCCAAGAGCTGGATTTAGAAGCAATAACCAGGAAATTTTCATCGCTTGACAAATGGAGGGAAATCTTTAGTTATCACAGGTAGGATGCACTTGTTTTCTCATTTCCGTAGAATGAAAGGGATTTAGGGTATCTAAGTAGTCAGTGTGTATGCTTGCTACGTGGAAAGTCTCAATGATAGGTTTATCCTTATATCTATAAGGCAGAACTCCTCTGTGGAAAGAGACTTCCCTAGAAAAGGTAGCGTTAGAGGGGCGGGGGTGAGGTTTGAGGAAGTGAGGTGTCAATGAAGTGTGTCGTTTACTTGATGTTTGCGCTTTCGTTTACAGGTTGGGAGCCAGGAATACAGCTCCTCAGGTAATTACTTTTCTCAAAGCCAACGTGTTTTCCTCTAGTTGCTTCTTCAAACAATCGCGTTCACGGCACAAGCTGCCCTTAGTCCATGCACATCACGCCACTTAGGCACGGGCTTTTCACGGGTGAAGACATGACTAGAAAGCCTGTTGAAGATCTTTCTTCGGGCTTCCTTTTTTTATAAAACCGTCTGCATACTTTTAAGAGCTAATTGTGATCATTGAGAGCCCAGTATGGTTTTTATTTTAGAAAAAAGGGTTGTATTCGGATCTAGAGTTCCCACACTTGTGAAATGGCCCTAGATTCTGATTACCCAAGTGTTGCAGCGGCCTTGATGAGAGGTGGTTTTTAAAATAGCCTTATTCAGCGTCAGGGGAGGGGATTTTTCCCATCGCTATTTTTAAAGAAGAAAGAAAAGATGACTGAACGCCGATTTGTCAAAAAAAAAAATCTTAAAATATGCCGAACAATTTAACTCTCCGTGTGAGTTATTAGTTCAAATACTGAACAAACATAACACAAACTATTAAGAGTGATTTTCCCGGCACAAGCATATGATCTGATCAAATACTTAAATTATCGATATCATAACACTCGAGCATCTTGCTCTAAGGAGGCTGTGATCAAAAGCCGTATTTGTGCTCAGGTTCTCTTAGCTGTCGTCTAAATCAGAATCCGAGAGATAATGCTTCCCCTTCACTTTTAGAAGCATTGAATGAAGATAGCTGTCATTTGGGAGAGAGAACATTCAAAAGATAAAACAATCTTTGAAAGAAAAAAAAAAGGCAAGTTAGGCTTAACACAAGATGTGGGAAACCCGCTCCCATAAATATAAAGATTTCCTATTCGATTTACCAAATGTGGCTTCCCCCATCCTTAGTCTGTGATTTGGATGCTGTAGTTCCGAGATAAGAAAGCATCTTCGCCTCCAGCCATGCAGAAATACTAAGGAGTGAATTTTCTTCATGTTTCAGCTACCAGTGGGGCAGATTTATTTCAAGACAGTCGGACAGAGGTTAAGTAAAGGAGACTAGCGGGGGCGGGGTAGGGGGTGAGGGTGGGGTGGGGGGTGGGGTGGGGCGACACTAAGTTATATTGAAATGCCTTAAGACTCGGTCAAGAAACGTAAGAGTGTTTTTGTAAAAGATGGGGAGGTCTTTCTTTTAGGAAAAATATTACGATACCCACTTACTGGAGAATAAGAAATGGAAAGAATTTAACAGAGACCACCTGGCTTGGGTTTAGCGTTCAGTGAAGGAGACATAGGTCGCGTAGCCTGGGAAGAGTCGCTCTGTGTTTATATCATGTTGTTTTTGTTACGTTCTTTTACGTTCTCCTCTCAGCAGGAGTTTAAGTCAAGGCCTGGATAACTTTAATTTTGTTTCAATAGTGGCTTTTGACCCAAGTCACATAAAATTTATGAGAGGGTCCTTTTGACACGGACACAGGGATTTCACCGCCCCCACCCCCTCCGCCCTTAATGGCTAGTTATCAAAGTTTCTAGACATTTTTAAAGGGGAGAGAGCACTCCAGAGAAGGAGCGCAGGGGGAGAATGGCCATCAGCAGCTCTGCTTGCTTTGTGGGGCCGGGCAGCATTTTGCACAGCACCACGAAGGCAGCCATGTATGTGCTGACGAAGCAGAAGACGGAACAAGAATACCTCAGCCCAGAGGACAAGGACACGTGTCATCAAACCGCCTTTGTTCTATTCCCAAGCCCTCTATCATCTCTTCAAAATTGGGCGCCTTTCCTATCTCCCCGGCAATGGCCACGGTAAGTATAGCTTGTCAATTAAACATGAAACGAAACGTAATCTTCCCCAACACAACAATGCTGGGGAATCTTATCTGCTGTCACGTGAGAGTATTGTTGAAGATAAGACCGCAGACGGTTGTTATTGGTAAGAGGAGACTATCATTAAAATGACTTATTTATGGTATTTCTCAAGGACACTGGGGATGTTACAGTCCTCCCTCCCCAACTTGCTTCCTCAGTGTGACAGCTCAAACTGAGGGAGGGGAGGAAGAGTCAAACAACTCACTGTGTCAGTAGGATCGGACAGAGCAGAGGCAGACGAGTGTGGCGCATAGAGAAATGACGTATTTGTGTTAAGGAAAGACTCAGCCCGGTGTGGGAAGGAAGATCCCGGGAATGCCATTTGCCAGGGACGGAGCTGGGAAGACCCGTGCCAGGCCCAGTCCTGAGATGAGGGGCTGACAGCAAGGGGAAATCATTTTCTATGCTTGCTTGGGAATATGCAGATTTGAAGAGAAACAGGCAGCTGAGGATCGGAGCGGATAGGACAAGTACTGGTTCCAGGACTATCTGCTCCATTCAAGGTTTGCCCAAGGATCTGATAAAGGGCTGAAGCAGACACCCAGCTAGGTGGCAAGAGGAAGCACCCCTTAGTGGATCATATAAGCCATGGGTGGAGGCAGATGCCTCCCAGAAGTCCAAGGGACCAGTTGTCACCATCCAAAGGGCAGGATTGGAAACCGTGGAATTGAGGCAGGGCTCAGGCTGAGGCAGCAGTAACAACCAGGGTCAGGGATTCCCGTGTGTTGGATTTTTAAATCACACTGAAAGGCAGGGCATCTCAAGACAAGTTGTCCACTTCTACCTCATCCATCCAACCCCACTGACTGTCGAGCGCAGCCGTTCTCAACCTGTTGCAACCCCTTTGGGGCTCGAAAGACTTTCACAGGGGTTGCCCAATTCACAACCGTAGCAAAATGACAGTGATGAAGTAGCAATGAAAATAACTTTATGGTTGGGGTCACCACCACATGAGGAACTGTATCAAAAGGTCATGGCATTAGGAAGGTTGAGAACCACTGGTCTAGAATCTCAGGCAGAGATCTCTCTTTGGGGTCTTGCATGCTAGAGTCAGAAGAGGCTACTTCCTGTCTGAGGACACCCTGACCTATATGGGTGCACGTTTGTAGGAATAGCCCACTACCAACCTTATCATTAGACAAAGAGCCGCTACGTGCACTTCACATGAGGTCCCTCCTGAGAGGAATGAGTGAAGATGGAAATCCCTCTGGGAACCCTACACAAAGCCTTCACACAATGCTTCCTCTGGGATTTGAACACAAAAGCAGGGCTGGCCCTGACTGCAGTATTTCCAACCTTCAAGGTCACCTTCGCTGAAGCTGCTCAGACCAGAGAGGACCTGACTACCAGGGTCAGCTCTGACTGAATAGATCTGACCCGTGGGGACTCCACATGTGTCAGAGGTGGGCTGTGCTCTACGAGGCCTGGAAATGGCTGGTTTTTCAGAAGTGCATTCCCGGATCTTTCTTCCAAGGTGCCTCTGGGCAGATTTGTACCTCTAACCTTTCTGTTAGCAGCCAATCATTTTAACTGTTTGCACATGCACACACACCCCAGGGACTGCAGCTACAGGGACTTGTTAGTTGCCCTCAAATTGATTATGATGGCCTCAGGTGTGTAGGGTAGAACGGTTCTACTGTTTCCCCAGCCTGGGGCCCTTGGGAAGCTGCCCACCAGGTGGCTAGTCTTCCAAGTAGGCTTGAGATGGGTGCATTGCCTGGCCAACCTTTCAGCTAGCACTTAGCTATTTGTGCCACTCAGGGACTTTTATACAGGGAACCCCGGCGGCATAGTGGATTATACATTGCGTTGCTCACCATAAGGTTGGCATTTCGAGACCACTGGCTGCTCTGAGGGAGAAAGATGAGGCTTTCTACTCCTGTAAAAAGTGTCAGTCTCAGAAACCCACAGGGGCAGGTCCATCCTGTTCCTGTAAGGTACCCTGTGGGCAGAACCTAGGGACTACAATCGCTCGATTCATTTTTATTACACACGTGCTCAAAGTCACCCAGAGAGACCTCAGAGATGGGGCCTGGTGACCCATTTTCTTGGAGACACCCCGGAGCCATTCTTTTCCGCAAACACTGAGGTTGGCCCGAGTCAGAATCCACTGATGAGCGCTAACAGCAACAACACCTTGAACGGAAAACCAGTAGGCTAGTTCCTATTTCAAGTACGTAGAACATGTTCAAGTGAATGCTGCATGTCATGACCGTGGTTGGAATGCCGCCTCTCCGTTGTCTCCCTGAGGATTTACTCAGATGTGAGCGCCCCTTCCGCCTGCTCGCATGGTGCTTCTCCTTGCCTTACAAAACACTGCACATTCCATCTTCTGCATGTGCACGTGGTGCTTCTACACAGGGCCTTGCCTATGGATGGACTCCTTTAAGACATATAACAATTTATCTCTGTCTTTCGGGACACTCTAAAGGTCCTCACCAGTTCCAACATTCTGCAGAGTATCCAGGAAAAGCCCTTTAAGATCCTAGAGCAAGAGAAGACAGCATGCACGTTTAAGATCACTTAAAGCACTGTTGCACACAGGCTAGACACAGGTATCCTGTCCATTCCTCTTCTCTGAGTCAAGCCAGATGGAAGTGGTAGGAGTTACACCCTTATGGAAATCAGGGGCCAAACATCAGCCCACAACAGAGTCTAATGAGGTTAAGGGAAGTTGAGTGGCAATGGAGGGCAAGCCAGAAGGGTTAAGGCCAACTGGGGAGCAATACTCTGTAGGGATGGCATGTTGAGTCTGGAGAGTAAAGCAGTGTACATGAATCAGACATGACACTTGCAAAGGACTTTTCACAATGAAAACACGAGAAGAGAATGAAGTACGACTCTGTATGTCGGGAGGGGGCAGAGAGTCATCTGCAAGTTCCACCCTTTTACTTAAACCTGACCATGAACCAGGGAGGTGACTAGCCTGGCTAACATCCAGGATGCATCGGGAAGTGGATTGTTGCAGATGCCGTTAGGTTAAAATTTAGCACCCTTATAATTTGATTTCCCTTATGATCTTTTACATTTGTTTGGTTTTTAAATATCTTCTGCTTTCTGTTTTATAGAGATGTTTCAAGTCTGTTTTAATTTGTTGTTTTTGTTCTTGCTTTTCAAAACAATATTTTTCTGCATATGAAATCCAGGCTAGGTGAAACCTACAGAGACCACGATTGGATTAATGGCTCCTTGGGGGTAAGGCAGGGGAGGTTGGAGAGACTGGGGAGCTAATAGCGATGAGAACAAGGATCTAAAACTGATGGTGGTGATGGTTGTACACCCCTCCTGGGTGTGATTGAACTGCAGAATTGCACAATGTGTGAGTTGCCAAAACAGACAAAAAGGATTGTGCAAAGGTCTGGTGTGGAGTGTGTCTGAGAGAAGTTCTCTTTGGTCGGACCGCTCACTTTCCGTCATTTCAGAAGCTGTGCCAGAGCCTCTTTGGAAACCCTGTCCATGTCTTCAGTGCTGATTGGAAAAAGGCCTGTTTCCGTTTCCGCGAACCTTTTTCTGACCTGGCTTTTGCTTTGGAAGTGGGAAAGGTAATGGCCCATTTGATCATTTCTAAAACTCCTACCCCCACGTTCCTTGCATGCTTCATCCATACAGGTGCATGTTTTCATATCATCACATATTAAGGAATATCAGCAATGAAAAATGAACCTTAAATTCTAACAGAGTGAGATGATAGCATCTTTGCTGAGTTGGAATAAGTCTCAAACTCCCATTCTTTCCCTTCGAATTCTAATTTTCTTGTCTCTTCCCTCCAAATTTTAAGGACTGCTAATGATTTAGAAGGCAGGGTGAGAGTTGGACAAATTTTCCTGGTTTATTTAAAATAAAATAATTCAATGACTATCTCTTTTCCTCTTAGACTAGTGGTTCTTAACCTTCCTAATGCCGCGGCCCTTTAATATAGTTCCTCATGCTATGGTGACCCCCACCCCCCAACCATAAAATTATTTTCGTTGCTACTTCATCACTGTCATTTTGCTACTGTTATGAATCCAGCAACCCCTGTGAAAGGGTCATTCAACCCCCAACGGGGTCCCGGCCCACAGGTTGAGAACTGCTGTCTAACACCAAAAAGCCAAACACGTTACCATAAAGTTGATGCCTATTAATATTGACTCTGGAGAACAGAATAGACCTGCCCCATGTGCTTCCACGACGATAATGTTTAGGAAGCAGACTGCCACGTCTTTCTCCCGGGGAACAGCTGGTGTGTTCAGAGTGCCAACGTTTGCCAGCAGCCCAGCCCTGGGCCACCTTGGTTCCTCCCCTACCTCCTACGATGGAAACGTTTGCTGTAAAGTAGGGGTGAGTGGCGGCGGGATTTGTCCGTGGCTGCCAAGCTGATTCTGAATCACGGAGTAGAAGTGGCCCATTGGTGGGTCTTCAATGACTGATTGTTAGAAGTGGATTTCCAGGCCTTTCTTCTGAGGTGCCACTGAGCGGGATTAACCCTCCTACCTTTGGGGTAGCAGCCACTCACTCAATGTGTTCACAGCCCAGGTAGCCTTCAGGTGGGACGTTACTGCTGTGGGTCATCAAATGGATCCCAACGCATGGCAATTCTATGTGACAAAATAAAAGCGACTCCTAGGGGTTAATCTGCTCTGGAAGGAGCCCTGGACAGTGCTGTCCAGTCAGGGCTGGACTGATCGCTGCAAGGTGCATGGTTCAAATCCCCAGCCACTCATCGCGAGAAAGATGGCTCCACCTGCTCTTATAAAGATTTACAGCCTCGGAAAACCTACATAGCAGTGGTTCTCAACCTGTGGGCCATGGCCCCTTTGGGGGTCAAATGATCTGTCCACAGGGGTCACCCAATTCATAACAATAGCAAAATGACAGTGATGAAGTAGCAACGAAAATAATTTTATGGATGGCGGGTCACCACCACATGAGGAACTGTATTAAAGAGCTGCGGCATTAGGAAGGTTGAGAACCACTGCTGTAGAGGGTTGCTATGAGTCAGAACTCACTTGATGGCAGTGGATTTGGTTTTGGTTCTGAATCATTCCAGAAGCGTCCTGCCAATCATTTTTCCCACAGTCACTGGGGGGTTCGAACGATGGTGCTTTTGGTTAGTGAGTTCGTCTGGGTGGACTAGAGAAACAAATACAGGGCACTCAAATGTGTGTAAGAAAAAGCTTTACATACACGAGCAGTTGAATATTGAGAAAACACCCCAGCCTAGTCCAGATCAAGTCCATAATTCTGATATTAGCCCATATGTCTGATACCAATCTAGAAAGTCCTCTTCAGACTCACAAAATGCATGCAATGATGCCAAATGCAGGGAGATCACAGGCCAGGGGGTGGGACGTCTTGTGGATCAGGCGGTAGAGGCATCTCAGCACTGGCAGAGATCTCCATGTGGCTCCTCCAGCTCCAGGGCTCTAGAGTAGCTCCATGTGTCTTATCAACAAGCATGTCTCACAGGGAGTGTCTCAGTATCCCACCTCCAGAGAGCTGTTTATCTCCTTAGTGCGTCCAAATCATGCAGCTTCATCAAGCTGTGACCTGATTAACAGGCTAAACTCCACCCCTTCACTCTTAAGTCTGAAATTGACACCAGATTATGTAACTACCACAGTTCAAAACTGAGCACTTTGATGTGCCACACCGGGGCTCCTGCAGGTAGACTAGGGAAGGTCAAGGTTGTGTGATCTCCATCAACTGAGCTCTGCAAAAGCAAACAAATAAGCCCAAACTAGTCACGGTGGATTCTAACTTGGCCCTGGCCAGAAGGAAGAGATAGCACACATGCACGCCATGCCGACCTGCTTGGCTTGGTTCGGGAGACTCCAGGTGGGAAAAGATCGCCAGCGTTCTGTTTTGTGAACAGCAGCCCCAGACGACTCCACCGCAATTGTAAACCCCAGCTCCCCACCTTCACACACCTCAAGGTTCTTCCTCTCCTTTCCAGGGAGGTGCCCGGGGTGTCCAGATGGCTGTACAAGTCTCCCTGATCAAATACTTGCTGTTTACCAGGAAGGGGAAGGGCTGTGACATTCACAGGTAAGAGGTCTGTGAGCAGTGCTTGCAGGGTACCGTTGTACCAGAGCCTTGGCAAGCAAAATGACATCATAATGGAACATTCCAGGGGCTCAGGGGAAAGGGATCTGCCTCCTAAGAGGGAAAGGGCCATTTCTAGCAAAGGGATGGATTCCAGGGCAGGGGAGGGCTCCCCAGAGGTCACTGTCAATGTTTAGCAGCAGGAAAAAAGTTGGCAGGTTTTATGCTCTGCTGCCGAACACCCTGTCAGGTAAGATTAAGTACCAGGTCTCAGGTGGGCTTACTTGTCCTTATTGAATGGGAAGCCTCTGTTAACAATTCCAGGGAGGAACGCAACATGGTGATGGAAAACCTGATAAATGAAGGATCAGTTCTCTTATTTAACCCAGTTGACAAAATACATAGCATTTGGCAGTAGTCTATGAAGGAGAAGGAGAAGTAGTAGTAGTAGTAGTAGTAGTAGTAGTAGTAGTAGTAGTAGTAGTAGTAGTAGTAGTAGTAGTAAGTAGCAGCAGCAGCAGCAGCAGCAGCAGTAGAAGAAGAAGAAGAAGAAATCAGTTCGAATGACTTTATCCTTAGACGTTAACAAACCCTACCAAGTGCTGAGCCCCGAGGTGGATATGAGAGGGGACAGAAAGAAGGAAACGGCACACCTCTGCCCTCAGACAGGATGAGTTATCACCTAAAACAGGAGCTAAATGCACAATGTACTCGAAGATCATGCACCCCCACGTTCCTTGGAAGCAGAGCTTCAGATGGGAATGCTCACGCAAGCGATTTACTGAGGAAGTGACCTCAGGAGGAAAGGGCGAGGCAGAGGAGGTTAGTGTGCTGGCTGTGTGTCCTTGTGTCCGTTTCAGATCATAAAGACCCGCCCCCGCCTTGTGTCAGAGCAGAATTGCTCCATTAGAGGAGAAGTATGCCTGGTCTGTTCTCCTGTGGAGGCCCAAGGTGGGTTCAAACTACTGAAACTTCTGCTAGCAGTCCAACACTTAACCACGGCACCACCAGGCCTCCTTAAGAAGTTAAGTAAGAATGTGGCTTTCAGTGATGTCCCACCTCAGCTGGATCCCTCCAGGAGCTCTGGAGTTTCAACTCCTCTTGAGGGTCAGCCCCACCTTCAGATAAGGGGGCAGGGCTTTTGCACCTGTCATTGGCTATGGGCTTTGGGTGGGGGCATAGCTACCACTGGAAAGTGGGAGCCTGAGTACCAGTAAGCATAGCAGATGGCAGGTATGCCCATCACACGAGTAACGGCATCTACAGAATCTTGATGAAACACGTACATTTGCTACCAGAATGTAAAGCCTTTCACACAGTCCCTGGCATGTGGTAACCATTAAATAAACATCGTGAGTCACTGCTATTATAATCCTATTCCAAGTGCCACCACTTCCATGAAGCCTTCCTGGATCTTACCAGTCATATATTCTTCATTCTTCCACTCTGCTCTCACAATACTTAATCTCTGCCCTTTCTTTCTTCCTTGTGCTAGAGTTTGGGCATATTAGTATCCTTGTGACTGTATGGTCACCGAGCAGGATGATCGTGGTGCCTTATGAGGAAGAAGTCAAAAGAAAACAGAACACAGCATTGGTGAGAAAAAGGCCAGGGAAGTTGCAACAATGATTTTTCCCCCCTATCATGTCCACAGTGCTCTTGTTCTTTCTTCAAAAGTCGCAAGGGTTTTCCTATGAGAATGTCACTGGGAAACCTTGCTGCATCCAGCCTACAGCCCTGGTCTTGCAGGACTCCCATTTGTTACCCAAACTCAAACACCAGTTAAAAGGAACATGATTTGTGGGCCTTAAGGATGTCAAAACTGGAATGTGTAGAAGACAATTTACAGAACTGTGTGTGTTCTCTAGCCTGGGTTCTCGAGAGAAGCAAAATCAGTGCTGCTGTCATCTGTATATTTAAGGAGAAATTTTAGTTTAAAAAGTGGCTCACACAGCTGTAGAACTAAATACGTCCGGTCTAAGTTCTGTGGGTCAGGTGTTAAGCTGGAGGCTTCTCCCGACTCGCGTAGCATCATGGCTGAGGAGCCCAAGATCATCACAAATAACCCAAGCTAGTTGCAGGCTGCAGGCACGGATGACTATCACGTCAGTGTATCAGGCTTGTGATTGGAGAGAAGAATGAATCCGAGGTCAACAGATCAGATGGCAGGCTACTGCTGGATCCAGAGTTCAGCAGGCACTATGTCAGGCTGTTAGCTCAAGTCCAAAGAACCAGAGGTTGATGATCAAGATGCAGGATCCAGACCCGGCTAAAACCGAGCAAGCTTGCCTACAGCATCAATTTATCTAGGAAGAAGACCACCCCACTCAGGAAACCTCCTCTCAGTTGTATCAAGGCTGTGACTTGAATAAAGGGGCTGCCCTCCAACCTCATATTTGTATAACTGATTAGCTGCTCACAAAAGATCCAATTATGTCAGGTCCTGCCGTGGGGAATTACTAGGTTGGATCCACAATCAATTTTCTTGGAAGCAGCAGTCAAGAGATCAAACAATATATTGGACCCGGTAAATCTGCTGTACAAGACCTTTTAACGTGTTAAAAAGCAAGGATGTTACTTTGAGGACTAAGGTGTGTCCCAAGCCATGGTATTTTCAATGGACTCATATGGATGTGAAAGGTGGACATTGAATAAAGAAGACAGAAGAAGACTCTATGCATGTGAATTCGTTATGGCGCTGACAAAGAATACTAAAAGTACCAGGGACTGCCAAAATAATTAGCAAATTTATCTTGGCAGAAGTATAACCGAAATGCTCCTTAGAGGCAAGGAAGGCAAGACTGTGGCTCCCATACTTTGGACATGATGTCAGGAGAGGCCAGTCCTTGGAGAAGGACACCAGCCTTAGTGAATTAGAGGGGCAGCAAAACGGAGGAAAATCCTCAGTGAGATTGTGTTAGACCGGGTTAACTAAAGAAACAAATCCAGAGACACGCATACATGTGTAAGAGAGAGCTTGATATCAAAAA